TGGGGGGGTGGGTGGGGTGTAGATGCCGATGTCGGTGTGGTTGTGGGTCTCGGTGTTACGGGTGCAGCGAGAAGTATGATTTACAACACGTCTACACCCACAGCCACAGCCACAGCCACAGCCACACACACCCACACCCACACCCATACCTACTCCCACATCCACACCCACACCCCATACCCGCTCCCACACCCACATCCACACCCCATACCCACCCATACGCACCCCTTAAGATAGTTCGTCTGTGTCAGAGACGCAGAGAAATCTCTGATCGTCCATCATCAATCCGCTACAGGCGATATTTTCAATGAGGATTTCTCCACTTGTTCGATTTTGACGAGACCATCGCACCACTCGTCGATTCAATAAGTCGTAGATGATGAGTCTGTCTGTCTCTTTGTCGACAATCACATCTGCTGGAAAGCTTAATTGATCAGCCCGTAATCCTTGCCTGTTGCCACAGGCCACCACTTGATAACTGATGGCATCCGGCTTCCATTCCTCAATGCGGTGATTGGAGAAGTCAGCGATGTAGAGAGTTTCATCCTCATCCAAATAGAGATCCATAGGATGGTTGACCTGGTTCGTTCCATTGCCTACTCCGTGACTTCCGGCAATGGTGAACGCTCTCGGTTGCCATGTGGCATTCTTTGGAAGAATAGTCTGAACTATGACTGCAAGAGAGAAGTGAGAGAATGCTCGATGGATTTATTCGATGTTTTCATTCGTAATTCTTGTCAAATGTTTCGAAACAATTTTCCCCTTGTTTTCACAGCGTCCCAAAGTAGTTTAGCACGTTTCATCCATGTCATAGCTGGCTTGTGGAGCACAGAGATCCAGAACCGGCCATCGAGCCTTCTTGCCATTGCTAAAGGCAGGAGGAGGGGCGAGCTGGGCAAGGCAAACGGAGGTATGAAGAACTTCGCTTCGCTTCATTTAAAAAAGGACTTCGGACTTGTTGCAAAAGATTCAGCATTCGATTCGCTACCAATTCATATCAACAGCATTGCTATGCAGCGTACACGTGAAAAACTGAAGAAATAATATGCAGAAGCTCTAACATTCCCAACTTTCAAGCGTAAAAGTCTCTTTTGGATTTTTTCACTAGGATTTCGACAAGCCTGCGCACACATTGTTCGCTCATTTTTTCGCCACTCAAACGAAAGGAACAACAATAAAGAAAGCTGTTAGCGCAATCCCTTACGGGAATAACAGTGTGAAACACGATTGATCTATTGTTTCTAGTTAAATCGAAATCGTTTTCTTCCATTTTTTTTGCGATACATTTGTAGTTAACCATTTATCTGATGCTTTAGAACCACAGTTGCTCTGTCAGGATCTGTGATGGCTCCAAACTCTGCTTGCCACGGTCCGTGATGGGTCCAAAAACCTGTCTGCACGGTCTGTGATGAATCCAGACCCTGTCTGTCACGGTCTGCGATGGGTCCAAAAACGTGTCTGTCACGGTCTGTGGGGAGGGGGGGGGGGGGGCAAATTTTTACCCTTAAACACTTCAACACTCCTTTGAGATCTTGTTTCACAAAAATGTTTCGCCACTCAAACGAAAGGAACGACAATAGAAAAAATGAGTTACTGACAATCGGAATTTTTGTGTGACTTAAGAGAGGTTGCACGAAAATATCAAAGATTTTCGAATATCAAAAAGTATGGGGGTCAACCGATTTTGATTTGATCCCCTAGGAATTTCAGGCTTTTTTTCTACCATAGATAGATCCAAGATATTACGGTCTACAGATTTACCTCCGGTTCGCCAAGGGGGTTGGACCACAGGCACCCTCAAAAATAGACAAAAAAAGCATGAAAAATTGACTTTTAGTTTTTTTGAAATTTTTCAGTCTCAAGTTTTTCACTATTCAAATTGAGCGATGTACCAATCGATACAGTTTGACTTGCTCTACAAAACTGTATATATGGCATATCTCTATGATATCAATTTAAAATCGAAAAAGTCCAAAAGCCGTGTTTTTTTTCAGCATATAGAAATTGGTCATTTTTTCAGTATTTCGTCCTAATTAGATATGGCACTTTAACTTTACTTTAACAGTTAAAGTTAAAGTTAAAGTAAAATACTTTAACTTTAATGTTAAAGTTAAAGTAGGCTATTTTTCCAGAGAGCTTTTTCGCCACTATTGTAAGGAGAAAACATGGTGTTGTTCGGGCCATATGAAAGAGGGCTCCTCTAAACCCCCTCATCGGCCCGAACAACACTATGTTTTGTCCTTACAATAGTGGCGAAAAAGCTCTCTGGAAAAATAGCCTACTTTAACTTTAACATTAAAGTTAAAGTATTTTACTTTAACATTAAAGTTAAAGTATTTTACTTTAACTTTAACTTTAACTGTTAAAGTAAAGTTAAAGTGCCATATCTAGTCCTAATGTCTAAGAGAGAAATCGATTGCAAAAAAAAATTTTATTTCATTTTGCAGCACATATAATTTTGCATCGAATCATACATTAGACATTGTTTCAAAACGTTCGAGCAGTGAGATTGTCCGACGAGAAAATCCGCCACTGACACTGTATTTTACGTATTTTCAGTGTCGGACCGTACTCGGTAACCCTACATCTCATCCCCTTACGTTTCGTCCCTTACTGTTCGTCCCATTGATATTTCGTCCCCTTAAAATTCGTCCAAATTACAATTCGTCCCAATTACATTTCATCCGAATTACAATTCATCCCTTTACATTTCGTCCCAATGTGTGACGATTCATTTTCATTATAGAAATATTATGTAAAATTTTTTTTAACAAACTCAAGTGCTTATTTTGAAATTCATTGCAATTCGAGTTAAATATTCCTCAATATTGTTGGCATCATAAGACAATGCAATTCTTTTTAATCGTGCATCAAGATTTTCATAAACTTTTTTCTGCTTTTTTGGTTGTTCACCAGCACGAAGTCGTTCAAAATAGATCGCGAATCTAGATTATTCATGTAAAATACATTTCGCAAGTTTAGTAACAGAAGGATGTTGGATTGATACACGATCGGTGAATGCATGGTGCCATTATTCTACGGCGTTATTCGATCATGGCAAATCTTGAATAACCCGTTCATAAATATTCTATAACTTCAAAGTAAATATTGGTTTATCACTTCGACTACCTAACTTAACATTATGCAGTATCAAATACATGAAACAGATATTTTAATTAGCATATACCTCTTCCTTTTTTTTGTTCTACCCAAACTCTTTCGAAATAATTTAGTAGATGATAATTTTCAGCATCAGGATCATTGACGATCAATGAATAACTTTTAATGAAACCATTAGCAGATACAAATGTAAGACCCATGAATTTTGTCACGTTCATTCTAAATTCAGCATCATCAATATATTTGTTTTGAAGACCTAATGATTCTTCATTGGCTTGTCAAAACACGATGATTCACTATACACAACACTTCGTATATAAACAATAACTACTTTTAAATAACTAAATGCATTAATTCTAGTAAACCTATAAAATCAAATTTAGCTGGAACAAAATGTAACGGGAAGAATAGTAATTCGGACGAAATGTAAGAAGACGAATTGTAAATGGACGAATTGTAATTGGAACAAATTGTAAGGGGACGAAATGAGTGGTCACCCCGTACTCATGTTTGTAATTTTTTTTCTAAAAATATTTCATATTTGCAATTAATTTATATACCAATCGATAGAGCTCAACTTGCTCTACAACACTGCACATGTAACATTTCTTTTCCATCTTAGTATAGAATCGAAAATGTCAAAATACTGTATTTCGAGCATATAAAATTTCCATCGTTTTTCAGTATTTAGCCAATATATCTTGGTCAAAAATAGATTACCATAAAAGCTTTTATTTCATTTCGTAGCCCCTTTAATTCTGCATCCAATCATTTATTGGGGATTGTTTCAACATGTTCAAGGGTTGAGATAGTCAGACTTGAATATCGGCCACGGACACCATAGTTTACTTATTTTATGTACAGCATCATATCAAATTTTTCTTTTTTTTCTCTACAAAATTTCATCTTTCTAATTGAGTCATATGCCAATTGATAGAGCTCAACTTGCTCTACAAAACTGCACATGTAACATTTCTTTTCCATCGTAGTATAGAATCGAAAAACTCGAAATACGGTGTTTTTCAGCTTAGAAAGTTTCTTTTTCTTGTAGTATCTCAGTTAAACGGATACATACCAAAGCGATTTCCAATAATATAATTAGTTCATATCATAGCCCATTCAATTCTGCATTGAATGATATATAAGATATTATTTTGAAATGTTCGAAAAAATGCTACTCAGACTCAAAAGTTGAGTTCTAACATTCGGCTCACTGTTTCGCTAATAATTTATTGCTGAAATTTATGTACGAGTGTGACTGCGGCTGTGAGATATTAGTATGACTGTAGGGCTTCTCTGCCTCCACATCCACACAGACACCTACATGGTTGTAGTCAATGATGTGGAGTAAACAACTTTTCTCCTTTTGCGGGCTCTTGCACTATTATACTATTGTGACATAAATAATGAAAGGTGGAATCGTACTCTTCGACGTTTTCGATAACAATTATGCACTATTCATCAAGTAGAAAAAAAATGACTATACGTTCTTGATATTCAAAATGTAATAATAAGCATGCATGTTCTCTTACTTTCTCTGCGACGCCCTGTAATCTGTAGACACAGAAATACCATGAAATCAGTATTTTGGCAAGAAATTCAATGCTCGCTTAGTTTGTTTATTTTGATCGTGAATCAAATTAATAGGCAAAGATTATCCACAGAATAATCACTCCGATTATGAATAGCTATAAAAGCAAGAATGATGTTGAATATTGCAAGCCAAACTTCAGTCACATCGGTTTATTTAGCGACACAACACAAAGAACGACACTATGCAACTCGGCCTCGTCTCTCTCCTCTTCATTATATTTCTTCTTATAACGATAGCCAATTACCAAGCTAAAAGAGCACCTGGGACCAAACGAGACTCACAGGAAGCAGCTCTGATGAATCTATTCGTCAACCGATTGAACTTTCTTTGGGAGGAAGGCCAAGGCGAAAGCGAAGAAAAATGCAACAAAGATCGACGTGCAGAAAGCAAAGATACCAGTAATAGTCCTGGTCTTAAGCAATCATCACGAACTGATGTATGCAACTTATATTGGGACTATTCTAAGGACATCGATAATGTGTATTTTATGGGCAAGAAAATTGAAGGTGCATATCCGAGTTCATTTCAATCGATTGGTAATGGTTACGCTAAGGATAGCTATGGTGTATTTTATATGGGTATAAAAATTGAAGGTACACGTCCATCTTCATTCCAATTTATTGACGGCGGTTATACCAACGATTATGATAATGCCTACTGCATTGGTAAACAATAGATGGTGCATCATATAACTCATTAAATGTCATTCATTAGGCACTGAAAAGATGCTGATAAAGCTTTTTTACGTTTTATGTGTTAAATAGTGTGATGACTTGCTGTTCATCCTTGTCTCGGTTATAAACATGTCATGTTTTTTTTGGTTTTTCTTGTCCCTAGAAATGCATTTTCTCCTTCCACAAGTATTTTTTATTTTCGTTCTTCGTGCTCCTTGTTCATATTAATTTAGTATTTTTCTCTTGTCTGGTTCATGCAAATTTTTAGCCAATCAGATCATTCAATGCCAACTTTTTGCTACCATAAAGAGTACAATATGGCTATATTCATCTTTGGCTAATGACGGGTTGATGTATAATGGGCTTTCGAACGGATGATATTAAAGGTGAAGGAATGAAATTTACGATTCTCTTAGATTTCGAAGAACTCAAAAACTTTTCCCATGCTTATCCTATTTTCTTCATAGTGCATTATTTTTCATTCAATCGGCATCCATTCAGAGACAATTAGGCTTGTGACAGTTCACGATCAAGAAACTGAACTGACATCACTTATGCAGTTTGTTCGAAAGAACTGTAACTGGTACTGGTGACCGGTTTTTTTTGACAAGTGAGACAAATACTAAATAGAATTGCTATAATATGATTATCAGCACACCGAGTCCATAGGAAAAGAACAGGTCACTGAAACCCGTTCTTAGAACTGTGAGCTGTCCAGGCCTAGAAACAACATATAAATGTGACTATAGTAAAGTACTTTTATCAACTCAATAGAGGAAGATAGCATGCTGACCAGAAACTGTCAGAGAACAGAGCATAGTGTCCTCAGAGCATGTAAACTGAGGCAGCTATGGAATTGGTTGGTGACATAAGGAGAAATTTTTATCACATTTATATTCAGTGCTCATACCTCTTTTTGTATAATTTCGGAAGAATACTACCCATGTATAAAAACGATCGTAAGTCTGTTATCAATCAGTTAAAAATTTTATTCTTTATATTTAACTATAATTTGAGACAAAGCCTCTATTTTGGCTTTTTCTCATGTTTAGGCTTCTCCTTCCTAATTTCTTTTATCGATTAAAATTTATCAATAAATCTTAATTAATAAAACTCAACAAGTCTGCTTAATCGATTAGAAAGAATTTCAAAAAAAATTGACAGTAAAAAGAATAAAACTTGACGATTCAAAATCAGATTTTAAGTGAGTAAAAATATTGCCATTCTAATTTACTCTTGACGAAGAAATAATTCTTTTTCAATCCAATATTTTGCTTTTTTTAGCATGAGTGTATAACACTAATAGCATATTCATACAAAAATTAGATCTGTGTCAATGAAAACAGGAATTCTTTGTGAGTAAGTCTCATCATTTAATAGAGACGAAGTCTTTCATCATCATTTAGCGGCAGGTCGAGATTCATTTTATTGTTATTTGCTAGGCGTGCTTATAACTTGATATGAGGTGTTGAATTTCCTCGAAATTGAAAGACTTTGTATTGAACGGTGATAAATTATAATAATTATTATATGCACAAGTTCTAATGAAGCAGATCGAAAACATGAAATCATCACTCGCTGGTGGAAGCAATGAGCATCAGAATTAGAACTGCCATTATGATAAATCGATGCAATAGTCAATGAATATGGATATGTTTGTAAATATAATCTATAGCCATATTGTCCAACTGTCAAACGAATGCAACCGCACAGTGTTTCAAGGCACAGAATATCTCCAACAGCATAGAGATTAATATTAGACATCGTAGGACAAATAACAATTGGTGTATAACTTGATGAAACGCCTTTACTTTGATGATTAAGAGAAGCTACATTCACCTTTGATGCATATAGCCAAGTGTTATTATGCAGACAGTAGTGTCTGCGCGTCCACAATTTCAGTGTAGGTTTTCGTTACCTGCCTATTTTTTTCCTGCTTTTCATGTATGAGTAACCAACATAGCGAGTGCAAATAAATGAGTCGCTTCACGTCTGCATCACGTGATGAAGATGCAAAAGAATGATTTGCAGGAAAGAAAAAAAGAAACAATTTCATTCTCCTCTTCGCCTCTATATGTGTTAAAAATCTTGGTGCCATGGAAGTTATTGGCAGAAACGAACACATTGTTTGCATAAATATATTCTGTCGAGACATGTTGCATTCGGTTAAAATGAACAATCAACAAGATCTTTCTGTAGATGTAAAACGAATTGTATCCAACGTGGCAAACCTATGATAATGAGTGTGTTGAAAGTTTTTAGACAAAATGCTCCTTCATTTGTCGACTGATTAAGAGGGTCAGCAGTAAGCATTTATAAACAAAGTCATCTCTACTTTTTCTCTCAAATATTGATGTCGATAAATTGTGACATGCAGACGAATACCAAAACTAGAAATATTCTGTTAGAGCTTCCGCAACAGTGTAGAACTATTGGTCTACGTCTGAGAACGAGAAAGGATTGAAAATACTATAAAGATTGACTGAGGCAATTAAGATTAGAACGAGACTTGTCTCTCAAATGAAGCAAATGCATCTCTCTCTGAGAGGGTATAGAGAGAAAATAAAGATTATTTGAATGAGACAACATATTATTTATTTTTGAAGTGTGTAGGTGTTAATGTAGCTGTGGATGTTTTCATCTATACTCACTTTTTTTTCGAACACATTTTTACATGAGATTTTTTTCCTATATTGATCTAAGAAGAAGTAATGAAAGATGCATCGATACTTTTAAAGATTAGGTCTGTATAAATTCTCCGGTCACAGGCTCGAAAGTTCAAAAATTTCATACACTCCATGAAAGTTACAGTTTATGTAACTATGTCAATTTTTCACATTAACCTAAACGATTCCTTCCTTGCTTCTAACATTCTAAATCCAAATATTGTTCTCTTTTATCCAATATCAAAATGTAATCCTTCTCGGAATGTGTATATTCTGTTTCTTAACAAGATGATATAAACAATAGTAAATTTAGATTTAAATTTTTCTGAAAACAAGTCCAATACTAAATCAGAAAAGTTATTCCGGTCCAGCGTCTTCGTGTTATCTAAAAAGCCCTTGAACAGAATCGATAAAGGATTTTATCATCGTTCAACTCGCTCATATATCATTTTAGGATTCTTCTGAATTGAGATTTACCAATGATCAGGCTACAATTCAACGTACAAGTGTAGTAGACATTATTTGTATTTTAAATGAATTGTTCATTAACCGTCGTGGGGTGCGGGTATCGAAGTGGGAGTGGGTGGTGTAAGAGCTGAGCAACACTCACATCCATATTCATACCTACACCCTCATTTGATCGCATAACTATGCTGTACCAATTGCGGTATGTCAACATTGAGTCGGATCACATAAATTTCGTCAATGTTAGACACTGGTTATCAATGCACTATTTCCGTGATAAGAGACTTCGACGATTGTCAAGCCTAAGAGAATCTATACACATCTTCAACCTTACTTCATGCAACTAGTGAGAGTGACTAATACTCAGATAAAATAAAATTTATATGAAAACATTGCACAAAAACTCTTTTTTTGGTCATTTTTTATTGAATAATAACCATTCTATGCGAAATTTAATCGTCTAGATTTTCTTTAATAATAATCATCCGCGATTAACCTACGTATAAGTATTTGTAACATCCCGATGTTCAAAATCAAGCGAATTTCATTTAAAAAAAGAACAAATGCAGCTCGAAAGCCATATGAGCAATGTTTACGTATAATTCACCTATTCTTTTGTACTTGACAAATTCTAATTGTACGTCCGATCGCAGTTACTTGAGAATTCTGAGATCTTAACGATTGAAAAATACACAAAGAAAAGGGTGCAACGAAATTATGCAATCACCTGTTCCTTTTTTTCCAACTCGAGGAAGTAAAAGTAAAATTCAATGAATCGAACTTTGATTCGATTAATCATGACAAAGAGTTCGAAATGAATAGTTACGAAAGGAAGTTGATGTCACGAGGAAGAAGATTTTCATATTTTTCAATATAAAAAAGAGCAATAGTAACTTATTCTGTCATTCATTGATTTCAAATTATAACAATTATAGAGTTCTATTCATAGAAAATACAAAATTATTCATGGCTTTGATTCAAGGAAATCGAATAGGTGTCAAAGAGGTAGGATCTACAGCGAACGTACCGAACAATGACATTGCGAAATTGATGTACTACTTCAAATGTGTATGTGGCGCAATTGAATGCGATATGACTGCACAAATGAATCGTTTGAGTAACTATGACAATTGGAGATATTTATCTGCTGATGAAATTCGACAACTGATCGCTCTCTGTTATTTATTTAGTCCTGATGTCTTTGAAGATAAAGTTTTTTTCAATAGTCCAGCAATGTGCCGAAATTCTTCGAATAAATTCTATGAAATAAGTCAAGTTCGTAATCAACTTCTTGCCGTTTCGTCTATTGTAATTGCTGGTCAAAGCCGACGAGTGAACAAAATCATGGTCTACAAAAGAGCATGGATGACGGAAAACTATGCTGGTCCGATGCTACGCCTTGCTCAACGTTTTTCTGCTTAATATTGTTACTAAACTGATTTAACGTTGCGATTTTTCATAGTTTAAACTTGACCTTTTTGAAAAACAAATCATTCTCCATTGTTTCTGTGATATAACTAAGAAAATAAACACTCGGAGCCATCTTGTGATCGGATTAGAGTCCTGCGAGACAAACTTTTGTTGTGTCCCGAATCTCGTTCATTCTGTCGCGAAATTTTCGAGTTGTCGCGCAGACTGAAAGGTGACTCATTGGGTAAAATACAGTAGCCTGACTTATGGCTGTTCACTCACCTAATTATTATGGCAAATTCGTTTTTTTTGGCGGATAATCATTCTATTCTCGACATTTTTTGTCACAATTAAACTTTGCGTCTCCATTTTCCATGCATAACCATCATTTCGAAATGAGAAAAAGTTTGAAAGAAAGTTTATTTTTTATTTTTTGTTTCGCTACCGGCATGCGCTTTTGT